CTTTGTCTCCTCTCAGGAACAGCTTCAGTAGTTTAACAGGTCTATTGTGTAAGTCCAAAATGAAAAAGCTATGCAAGTCACTCTTGGGATTCATTATTTGAATGTCCCCTTTAGTTATTAAGACATCAGCCAGTTTCATTTGTAAATCCACTGTGGCATCTTTTTCCATGTCATTCTTATAGTTTGTCATTTTTAAATCCGTTTTCAAAACCTCATCAACCTCTTCCATATCACTCTTGTAGTCTGGTGTTTGTTTTTAATTCTTTTTCAAGTCCACATTCAAATCAGCTTCAGTCTCTATGTTATCCAGTAAAGTCTCTTCCTCTTCTGTAACCTCTGTTGTATCCATTTCTATAGTGGTAGACAATCTTGAAAGTAATTTCTAAGTACAGTGTTCCCAAACAGCTTTAATTTCTGCTGTAGTCAAATAATATTGCTTCATTGTGTTAATAGGTTTCTTCTCCTTTAATTGTAAGTTTTAGTTCTCTCTGGTTCCCTCTAGTCAACCTTCAAAGTCCTTATCATCTTATCATATGTTTATTCTCCAATCAGCAAAACTTTCCCAGGGGAGGATTTCTTACAGTTAATTTCAAAATTTTCATATATACTTTTATAAAATTTTAATCAACACTCAGGAAATATTCTTGCAAGTCCATCTGGCCCCTTAACTTTCTGTAATCAACATTCTAGATGAACTTTTGCCGTTTCCCCAAAATTAAATTTTTTCTATTTAATCTTTAAACTTATCTAAAACTTCTTTCATCCAGGATGGAAGGAAGCTCTCCTGGTGTAATGAAACTTGTCTTCAGAAGGTTCTTAACATCCAAAAGATCAATAATAAGTAGTTTTCTGAAGAGAGGAACTAGGTGAACCCAGTGTCCGTTTGAAGGTGCTGAACTGCAGCTTAGGCAAGATGATTTTCCCTTGGCTCCCAGAGCTCTCAAACCCAGCAGAGATTGCTATTTTGCAATCTCTTCATGGGCAAGCCTCTATATGGAGCAAACTTGTGGGTGATCCTAATCCTCTCCTTGATCTGGAGAGGGGTTCTGAGCAGCCAATCCCTTCATCAGCTCCTTTTTCTGCCATGGCTGTCAGCTTTGCTTGCTGAAAGAAGTCATCTTCAATCCATCGTTGCTTCCCTAGAAGTGCCGAATTGTCCAGTCACTTTTTCTTGTTGTTTCCACCTATCTGTTCATGCCATCTAACAGAGTAATTTTTCCTCTGAATCTCATTCATTCAGAATTTTGCATAGTTTTCCTCAGAACTCATCTCTTGTTCTTTCATTATCAACATTCAGGGTAGTATAACATTCAACTGTCACCAGCTATGGATCCCTACATCCATATTAATCCACAACACCCTAGCTGACACCAGTTTTCATACTTTCTGACATAGTTTAGCCCTTTTAATCATAAACCTACAGTTTCACTTCCCTCCATGTGCTAATGAACCACTTCATAAGTTCAGGACATGTTTATTCAGATCTGTTAGATCTGCCCCCTTTCCACAAATACACAACTTGTCTCATTTCACTTCACTTCACTTCACTTCACTTCACTTCACTTCATTTCATTTCATTTCATTTCATT